GAAAATAAAAGGAACAGTGGTAGATATATTGATTGAGCACAGTTCTTGAGAAATTTTGGTGGAATTTCATCTGGTCCTGTGCTTCCGAATTCATCGACAACTGATAGATTTACACTGTGATCGCAACTCGGTAAAAACATGATAATCAATGTTGCTCTTGGATGCTTTACACATTTACATGTGTTTCCAAATATTTGTTGAAAAATAGTGAATGCCAGTCCACGGAACGAATATAATCATTGAATTGATCGTAAGGAGGCTTCGAAAAGTTGAATTTGTAGAGCAGTGTTTCTTGTTAAGTTTGTCTTCATATGTATACGTAGTATTAGTTTTATACAAAACAGTGTAACAATTTTATATGTTCAGTGTAAATGCATTTATTTGAATTGACTTATCCCATAGCATTTATAAGCTCAGAGGGTTAATAAAGTATTATTATTATTATTATTATAAACGAACGAATACTAGCCAAACGAGACGAAAATTCGAACGTGATATGTGTGCAATCGGTCAGTGATATCCGAATTCTTTTTAGTGGTTTATTTACATTACAATTTATCAATTTACGATATTTAATTTCATTATGGAGACTTTTGAATTTCGTAGTATACGCTGATCGAATCTTGTACTATAAAAATTTGGATATAATTACAGAAGTGAAATCATTTCTTCAAGATGTTAAAATTACTTTTATTTTATTTATGGTGGGATATGAGATTAAAATTTGCAAAATTAAGTTAATTAAGTTAAGAAGAACTAAAAATCCAAACTCTAGAGTGACGCAAATGTTCAAACAGTAAAGAATTGTTACTTATATAATAAATCTTTGTAAATAATTATACGGAACTGGCTGATAACTACTTTCAACGATGTTACTCGTTTATTACTACTTGCCCGTTAGTGCGCAGGCTCAACGGCTGAACAGATTGTTATCTGTGCTAGTCACAGCAAATTTTTTTGCTGTTTCCGGTTTTGGGAGATAAAAAGTAATAAAACACGTTGAACATACGAATGAAATTCGTGCGTTGCGCTATTTGTTAATCAGACACGGGTATAAAACTATAAACGAAACTTCCTCTTATCTTTTTTCGGGAATGTATTTAAAACTAACTGTCCCCTGTGATAAAATAAGAATCTTATTGCTTTCTGTTTGATTTTTCACATAAAAGCTGTTTCCATACCAATTTTCTCTTTGAAAAACGCGCCTATGGAGTTTATTGAATAATTCCGTCCTTGTAGACGTTTGTTATCAAAATTTGAATGCATAGGAAAAAGCTTTATGATGAAAAATAGGAAAATACGTGGTAACGGATATTAGGCACATTTTCAATCTTTACGTCTGAAATGAAATTCCCGGTTCCTTCTTCTCACTCCGGCTTTTGCATCCACAATCTGTACAATTCATCACGATTTTAAGTTGTTTTTTGTGTATTTCCTCTCAATTTAAGCGCAAAAACTCATAAAAACGATGTGACTTAAATGACATGTATGCCACATATAAAATGGCCGACTTGATTAAAAAGGTAACACGATTCATAGACAGGCTGTACGGCATACGCGGTATTCATACTCTTTCCTAATCTAAGGAAATGGAAGTATCACAGTTAGAAAAAACTAGATCAAGGATATTGCCATTCACCCGATTTTTGATTGAGTTGAATTGATGGAAGCCGAACAGGTTGAATGCGTCACATATTATAAGCTCTGAAGTGCTGTTGCGATTACAAAAAGCAGTAAGGTGTCCATCTTCCTGGTCGGCATCGCAAGTGGTATTAGTCAGGTTATAATCTCCTAACAGTACGAGCCCTAACACATAAATGTTCGCACACCCACGATTTTAAAAATATTGTAACTTAAAATTATTGTATTTTTTTTTTATTAATTTTGTCTTACTATAGTTATAAATTACGATATTTAGTAACTCCGATTTTATATTTTGATGCAAAATTAATTAATTACAAACTTTGAAATAACACAAAACAATGTAAAATTAAAATTTAATGTGACACAAAAATGTTCGGACACCACCCCTTAATAATGAGTTACACCCTCTTTGGCTTTAATAACAGCCTGGATTCATGTAGGCATGGTCGCCAGAAGAGCTTTACATTCATCGGTGCCGAAGGTATCCCAAATCTCAAATAAGCAATATTGTGTTGCGGGTGATTACGCAAACGTTGCTTCATTTTATGTCACACTGTCTCAATGACATTGAGATCTGGACTGCTTGAGGGCCAATCTAAAGCACTAATATTGTAGTCTTGTAACCATTTCTTAGTCGTTTTTGCCGTGTGACATGATGCTCCGTCTTGTTGAAAAAAAAAGTCTGCATCAAGTGATAATGTCTCAAGTGAAGGCAATAAACTTTGTTCTAAAATTGCTTGATATTTCTGAGCATTAACATTACCATTTATAAAGAGCAAATTGTCCCAACCCATTTGCAGACATACTGCCCCACACCATTACCCCACTGGGGAATTTAAAGAACGCTTTAAGCAATCTTTGTGAAATGTTTCGTTTTTCGATCTGATAATTCTTTTTCGATTATCGCCCACACTGATATCAAATCGAGACACTAAAAATGATTTTTTTTCCAGTCTTGGTAAGACCACGCCTGCCGCTCCCGAGCCCAAGCTAACCTCTTCTTTTTTTGTTTTTCTGTTAAAAGAGGTTTTTTTCCGTCTATTTAAAAAAGTATTTTCTAATGCTCAATAGTTTTAACCTAAAGATCAACTTACTTTATAAAAATGCAAACCTGATTTGTGGATCCACCTTCGACAAGGTTCGTGAGAAAGATGAGCATTTGTTACTTCACTCCGTTTCACCGTAAGATTCTGTACTGTGTCTCTTCGTCCAGAATTGAAAATGGTTACTGCATTCTAGGGCTAACTTTTTGCCGTCTTCCTGTGCTCTTTCCTGCAACTTGATGCTGTTTTCGCATACTTTGCTACAATATCTGCCACCTTGGACTTCGACAAATTAAATTCCTGACCTATTGTCCTAAAGGATTTTCCCATATGAAACCATTTTACTATTAATTGTCGCGATTTCTTTCCGTGTCGCAGTGCCACGTACCATTTTTTTCTTTTAACAAAATGGCAAAGTGGACTGACCGGAATAAACAGTATTATTATTATTATTATTATGGTTGGTGTTTCTTGTGAGAACTCAGGTCTAGCCTGGTTAACTAATCGCACGGATTAAAATCAAGTAATGATTAGTGTTTGTGTCTGTATTATTATTATTATTATTATTACAGGTTATAAGAATTATTATTTTTTGTTTTTGTCCTGCTACCTAGAACTCAAACTATCAAATGTGTGGTGTCCGAACATTTGTGTCAGTTAATTTCGCTGATTTTCGCATTTTTATGTTATGAGAGCATTAAAAAAAATAGTTTTTTTGCTATTAGACCTAAATAATAAACTTATAATACATATTTCTGTAGATATTTGTGGCTTTATTGACATTGACTCGGATTTATTTATTTTTTCGGTTCTATTTTAAAAATGCTAGATGTCCGAACATTTATGTGTTAGGGCTCGTATAACTGTAATTGATGCATACAATACTATAAACGATGGGCTTTATAAATGGTTAATGAGAAATGTTAAGTTAGTTTGAAACGGACTATAGTGTTAAATTAGAAAAAAATGCACAAAACTCATTGCTTTTTTTGTTCATTTTTGACGTTCTGTAAATTTAAAGGTATCTAAATTTAGAGTGCAAATCAGCCAAGCGTATAGTAATAGTCCAGGAGCTAGCGTCCTATTTGACCGGACCATTTTCGCAAAGTTCATCTTTCTACTATAGATTTCTGATCCATAACCTATCAGCTGGCTCAAAAGCGTGGCTTAAGATGCCGAGAGACTGAGAAAGACGTAAAAAAAATTGTTTTTTGGACCATTTTTGCAAAGCTGAAAATGGTATATATAATAGTGTACAATGTAAAAAGAGCATAAATAACTGTCAGCCACGGTGGTATAGACTGGTGACCCGGCGAAGCATTAAGAGCACACGGAAATCTGTCGCACGAGTACCGACCGATTAGAAAAGGAGCACCCGAGAGCGAGAAAGCACATTCCGTCCATTCAGTATTATTGAATTTAACGCGCGCTCACCTACAAGCAATTATAAACTGCCTTCATTTGTTGAATTTAGAATTGTTACCTTCATAAAATGCATCAGTTGCGCATTTTACTACGTTAAAATCACGGGGTGGATTAAATCATCCAAATTCTGATGTGTTTAATTTGTTAAAACCGTTGATATAATACTCTCATACCACATGCTGCGTCCGTCGATTTTTTTTATCAGACAATTGAAGATTTATTTTATAGTACTACAACTACGGAATGCAATCCCGCAGCAAAATCTCAATCCCGGTATTTGCGGTATCCCGCAAAACTTTAAATAAATTGGCACATAAGCAATTCTGTGCGGTTAACTTCTGTATTACAAAAAATCGCTAATTATCACAATATTTAACAAAGTACCTTCAGTCTAACTTAGAACTCAAAAAAACCTCGCCTGTAAAGCACAAAAAGGTGAACTTCTAAAGTGCCTCAAAAATCATAGTACATTTTTAACGAAAAAAGTTCAACAATTATTTAAAAAATAACTTCTACGTTATGCGTTTCATTAACAAAGTAAACAAGAGTCGTCTCCTTGGTCGACAAATTCCTCAGTCCCGCAAATCACACGGGATCCCGCTCCATTTATGCGGGATCCCGGTATTTCGGGTACCAGTAACCTGAAATATTCATAAATAATATGCATGTGTTTTCATTTCATTGAAAGTTACACCTTCGAACCAAATTCCTAAAAAAGATCACTACTGTAGGTACATCCAGGTACATCTAAACCTTGTTATTTTTACAATCAAAAGTATGTATTACATATTGATAACTACTTCATAGCGACATGACCATTCATACACAGTTTTTAGACGATAATGGACAGAAACACACATCTTTGGTAGTAAACAATGTAACGTGCGAATGGATTACGTACATATAAATGCGTTCTGAAGCGGACGGAATTTGTTCTCTCTCTCGCACACTTCAGGCCGGTGACAGCATACATGCTACACGCGCTCGCCGTATCACCAGTCTATACCTCCGTGCTGTCAGCTGATATTTAATTGAGGCAAAACCTGTTAGCTGGGCGTCCAAAGTGTAGCATAGCTTTAAGCGCACGCGACGACTTTGAATTTTGATGACCCAGCTAACACATCTTTCCACGTTGTCATGTCAGCTAACAAGTGGTTTCCTTTTTTTTTGTACCATAAACTGATGAGGTACTCATTTCCATACATGCTGATGTCATATGAATATGACTGAAAGAGAATACATGAGTAAAATGGTATCACATACTGTATTATTATACATAAATTGAAACATTGTATTTTATAATTTGTAACGTGGTTAAGGACATAAAATAAATCAAAAGAGACAAAACAAACCAAAAAAAGGAAATTAATAGCCCTAACCACGGCTGCGGCTGTTGGAACCTGGGCTCTGTGGAAGAGATGGGAATTTTCTTAGATCAGTTTCAAACATTTTGTCGACTACTCCGAATTAGGTTCTCCTTTTTTTGCAGTTTTCTTAATTCGTAAGGTAAATGCCGGAGTAGTATAGAACAACTTAAGACGTTCTGCAGAGGCACCTCTAAAAAGCATTATGCGAGTCACTCTGTAATTGGGCGCAAGCATTTCCGAAGGTACTTAGGAATATTTTTCAAGAATTTGTGTACCATTCGGAAGCTCATTATATTTGTTGTCTCACAGAACAAAAAGAAAGTCAACAACCACTCTGTAAACTGTATATGCGCGAGAAGTGTAATAAAAATCTCAGTCTTTTCGTTATGAGTGCAGATAGAGGTATAATACATGATGAGCGAGACAAAATATGTCGAATTAATCAAAGTAATTTTTTTACTAAAACATTTTTTCAATTAGACCTACGGTTTAAGAAATATAAGAGGTTGAATATTTATTAAAAGCGTAACGCGAGCGCCCCAGCTCCTGGCAACACCGACCGACGTGACGCCTGCCTTTATTAACACGCACGCTGTCGCATAAGTCCGTCTCAATCACACTCACGCAGACCCGGTCTGTTTTCTTTTTTCGCATTTTTTAAGAATTGTCTAAGAAATGTATAGGTTGCATTTTGTCCTAACAGGAAAATGAAAGTTAGTAGCGGCTAAAATAATCTTACACAAACGTACCATAATCTCTCCGTAAGCAGCCGCAGCCATGGTTAGGGCTATTAGTTTCCTTTTTTTGGTTTATTCTATGCCCTTAATGTCCTATTATTATACAGTATGTGATACCATTTTGCTCATGTATTCTCCTTCAATCATATTTTTCTCCAATAATATGACATCAGCATGCAAGCAAATGAGTACCTCATCAGTTTATGGTACAAAAAAAAGGAAACCACTTGTTAGCTGACACGACAACGTGGAAAAATGTGTTAGCTGGGCCATCAAAATTCAAAGTCGCCGCGTGCGCTAGCGCCCGCTAACGCTACGCTACACTTTAGACGCCCAGCTAACAGGTTCTGCCACATTTAAATATCAGCTGGCAGTTATTTATGCTCTTTTTACATTGTACACTATTATATATACCATTTTCAGCTTTGCGAAAATGGTCCGAAAAACAATTTTTTTTTACGTGTTTCTCAGCCTCTCATACCATCACGCCACGCAGTCGCGCCAGCTGACGCTTGTTTTAAGTGTTAACTAAGTAAAAACTACCAGGCAGAATAAAAAGTAATTGTGCGAAAATGACCCGTAATAATAGCACGCTACCTCCCGTACTATAAGGTTTTTCCAATTTTTCTTCATTATTTCCTAACACCATTCATGACTAAGATCTAATGAAAACAAGTTAAAAAAGTAATCGTAAACGATTTACAAAAAGCGCATTTCCACTTGCATTTATTTCCCATTTGTAAGATGCAACTTCTATTAAAATCGTACAAATCCGGTTACAAATATGAAAGAGAGCGTTGCATAGGTGCAATCAATTTTTGATGTCCTACTTCAATTTCAGTTTATAAGAAGAATTTCATTTCAATGCTTTCATAAATAAGAAAGTTGACACTGCGCATGCGCAAACCATATATTTTGAAACTGGCGTTAGATTTTCCATTATTACAAGCACCTATGGATCAAATTTCATTTAAATGGTGCCATAGATGAAACAGTTGGCACTGCGCATGCGCAAAACCAGTTTTTGAAACTGGCGTTAGATTTTCCTTTATTCCAAGTGCCTAAGTATCAAATTTCATTTTAATACTTTTATAAATAAAAAAGTTTGCAATTCGGTCAAAATATGTGAAATAATTTGAAATGGAAGCGTTTTAATTTTCATGTCTATATCTAACACGGTTTCAGCGTGAGAGCTTTGGTTCCGTCTTGAATAGTGACCCTGTATATATCTTCTCCCAAATACTTACCATAACATTCTTCGATAAGTACTGCATAAGGATTTGTTCCTGAATGATTCTTTGCATCCTGATCACCGAGCCGTAAGATATTCTCCAAACCATTTAAAGCTACTTGCACAATTTTCGCATCCATAACAGTAAGTAGATCACATAATGGACTAATACAACCCTGCTCGACCAAATACCTAATTTGATCAGGAGTGCCGCCGCTCGTCGCGTTTGTAATGGCCCAAGCTGCCTCTTTCCGAGTTTTAAATTCACCTTTACCTAATATTTCGATTAAAACTGGGAATATATTAGCATCTATAACCGCCTAAAAAAATTGTTTAATCGAATTTGTAGACGATTTATAAAACCTACTTGAATTTGTTGCCTATTGCCTGCTGTTATATTACTAATAGTCCAGCATGCTTCCTTCCTGACAGTTTCTTTTGAAGAACTTAATAAATGAAGCAAACAGGGTAATGCGTTACAATTTAAAATTACTTGAGTCTGTACATCGTCGCCAGTGACAATATTTCCAACTGCTCGCAGTGCTGCCGAAACGACATTAGGTTGTTGGTGCATAAGCAGCTCTACCAATCTTCTGCATACACCAGCATCAATAACAGCCTAAAGTAATTTGCGATTATTCACTCTGCACGAACAGTAAATAAATTTACCTGAATCTTATCATTAGGTCCATCAGAAAGGTAACTAAGAGCCCAACATGCGTCTGATAGCATGTCTGCATCTGTATGAAATAGAAGGCGGGCAAGTACTGGTAAACCTGGAGAAACTTTAGAAAACTCAGGTGGAGGATTTTTGCCTCGGCAAAGATTTGATAGAGCCCATACGGCGTTTCTGGTCATTGTCAAACGACCTTCCTTACTTAAAAGCCTGAAATAAAGATTGCGTCAGTTTTGAACCACATTATACCACTAAACTGTGCAAACAGATTATCAAATTAAATATAACCGCACTCCCCTTTCTATAAAAGTAACTCAATGATTGTATGCAGCTATAAATATTATACATACTGTAAAAGTGGTACGAGTATACCGGAATCTAAGACATGATCTCGACATTCAGGCGAATCACCGGCAATATTACCCAATGCCCAAACTGCTTGTTCTTGAACATCATCATAAGGACTACTAAGTAATGCAATAAAAATAGGAACAGCGCCCTCTTCTATCACCATCCGAGTCTGCTGCGATGTACCAGAAGCAATATTTGTCAGCGCCCATGCCGCTTCAAACTAAACAGAAGAAATATCAAAACAGAGATAGCGCAAGCCAATGTGTCATCAACTCATATATTTGAAAATATCAAGAAATGTATACTGCTGCAAACACATATAAATGATTCTACGTATTCGGATTTCGGTTAAATATTGAATTACTTATCTTGGTTACTGCAAAGACAGAGGCTAAGGCCGAGGTAAAAATTTACAATTTGTTTATTCCATGCAGAATGGCGTGATTGCTTATATTCCTACAAATACTGATTATTATAACAGTTTAAGTGGCTATAATGAGTCGTAGGAGTGTTACTAAATATGCCAGACGTAAACGAGACTTTGAAGTGGAAAATCATTAATGAATTAATGAGTAGAACACAAAACGAGATTTTGAAGATATACTGTATTCATATGTATGCATATGGAAGCTTTGACCTTCAGTGTGATTGGTTAAAACACGAGTGAGTATTACGCTGAAACATAAAACGAGTGGCGAATTTTGCAAGCTGGTACTTTCTATTGCTAACTAAACTCTTGAAGTGTCATTAGCTGTTAATGTCAAAGATTTATTTCTGTTTGCAGTATATTGGATATTTCTACTTTACAATAATTTGGTGCCGTTTTATATTTTTCCTGTGTGTGCTTATCTTCAAGCACAGCGCCATCTAGTACCTTCTTATAATGAATGCAGTATAGTTCAGTTACAGCAACTGTCAACGGTTTTGAAAAGCAAAAAAATTATTTAAATAAATTATGAGGATGAGGATGTACAACAAGAGGTTACAATGTTGCTCGCCCTTCATCCATCAAAAATTGAAGGTATAATACTTTGCTAATTCTATAAATACACAAGCTGGTTACCTGCAATGTGCAATTGTTTGTATTTTGTAGAAACTGTACAAAACGTGGAACAATTCCCGTCTGTATAACTTCATCAATCGGTGGATTAGGCTCCCTACTTAATAGTTTTCTGAACTTCTGCGTGGCATTTAATTGGTCTTCTATATTATCACTATACAAATCTTGCACCATGGCACGAGTTATTCCGGGGGCAGATTGAGAAATGATATCGCCTTCCAACTGTAAATAAAAAAGTGTGGGATTTACTTACTACAACATAATATATCAAATTGTGAAACAGTATTAAAATCGTAATGAAAATATTTTGAGCCTTTTATACATGTTGCCTTTGCAAGATAGGGGTTTGAATTTATCTTTGAGGTTGGGTAATATCTAAGATCCTATTAGACTATGGCGTGTATCACATTCCCTGTTCTTATGGTTCGGTCTACATTGGCAAAACTGGTAGGTCAATTAGGACTCGAACTTCTGAACACGAACGACATGTTCCAGGTCGTCATAGCTCTGCATAGCTTTGGGAATCTGTCATGCTGTGTCACATTCTCCAATCTCTCCTGCGAGAATAGATTTAAATAGCCTGGTTTAACATCTACTGTTCAGTGTTCAGTGGGTACAGTACAAGTGTAGTGAAGTAGTGGGTCTTGCTCTCGTTGGTTCATTGGTAAGAGTTGTTATATTTTTGATTATTTTCTTTCTCGTCCTGATGAATAACCAAGATTTTTCAATTATTTTCATTTCGATCTAGTTATCCATGAAAATGATCAAATGACGTTGTTTGTTGTAAAGATAAGTTTTCTCACGCAAGCAACTTGCGGCAGTAAACCTTGCTACTGGAAACATATACGAAGCCTCTGGGGTAACAAATAAACCAAAACCACTAATACATGGGTATTGCCGGTGCAACCCCCACTCATATATGTAGGCAGACGGACAAAACTAACTTTGAAGTCCATACGTACGTTTGGTTTGACATTGCGAAAAATAAGTTGGTGACGAAAAATACATTTGTGCATCAAGCAATAGAGCTTGGTTTTTTTCCAAACAAAATTGGTGCATAAATAACGATTTTGACATCCTTTTGGTTAAACATATTTTGGTCAGCAAAAATTCATATACAGGCTGATTCAAATTCGAGGGCCACCATGGGGATCTTGGGAACTGTAAAAGATGGGTAGGTAGTTTAAATTGGGCAAAGTTGCGTATTTTGATGCTTAAAAAATGCAGTTTTGAAACTTTTGTCATTTGATAGAGAATTAAAAAGAGCGTTCAAAATTATAAACATCACAATTTTTTTAAATAAAAATATTTTCTTTTTTGCCTAGAAAACTTTGTCTTAGATAGTATACGTACGTAGTTTCTTGCGTTTTTACAAATTAATAGCGCTATTTATGATTAAAAACTAGTGACGTTAATTTTTGAAATCAGAAAAAATTCTCCACCAAATGATACAAAAAGTAAAAATTACTTCCATAAGAAAAAACAAAGTTGATAATGGTTGACTGGAGACGAAACGTCAAACTTAAAATTTAAAAGTAGCATCTTGTAGAGCAGTGGTTCTCAAAATATATGTCTTGATATTATCCCATTTTTACACCGATACAACTACATTCTCTTCATGTTCATAGTTTCCTCATTTATGTCTTATGACGCAAGGCCTGATGATGACAAATATAGCGGAAATCAATAGCCATGAAGAAATTTAATATAAAAGTTATCACTAAAATTATAGGATGAAATATCTTACGGTGTAGTCAAAAAGTTTTTGGGCCAGTTTCTGAGATTTGACCCAAAGTTAGTATTTTTTTTAATGCAACACGTCAATTAACATCAATGTTTGCATTCTTTTTCCTGATCACACTAAGGTGTCACAACCTACTTTTTTTTTAATTTTAACCATGACATAAAAATACAAAATGGCAGCCAATACCAATCAATAAAAATGGCTGACGGCAGAAACATGTCATTTCAAAATTTTGAATAATATGATATAATATCTAATTACAGTAAAATTCCGATTATCGACGCGAGTTATCCGGGCAGCGGATTATCCATGCTGTGATTTCTCTGAATTGAAATTACATTTTAAATTAACCAGCATGCGCCAAAAGATTCAAACTGATGAAAACATTTCACACAGACCAAAGTGACCGACTTTTTTCAAAAGCTATCTAAAATATCTGCTTTTTTTTCAAAGTTAATCTATCAGTGTAAACATTTTAGTTTGGATATTTGAAGTACAAATTTTATTGTATAAAAATTCTGTTTTTTTTGTCATTTTTAGTACATGCACCTGTATGTAGGTATTATGTTCATATGTATGAAATTAAAAGCAGCTGATATACACTGGTCTCAACCAAAATAGGACACACAGTCCACAAAGAAGCATACAAAAAAAAATCCTCAAACTTAAATATTCCTTCCACTATTCGTCATCTCCCTGTCTCTTTATTTTTTTCTGTTTTCCTTTTTCTATCATCTTCATCAACTTTGCTCTTTGATTTCGATCCTGGTTTTGTTCTTCCTACCTGTCTGCATTGCCATTTCAAATGATCAATGTTCTCCTACTCGCTTCAGAATCTGCATTTCCTCCTTCCCTCCATCTTTCATTTTCCATGTAAATTCCAGATTTTCTTCCTTTGTCATTTCATTATCAATTATTAGGCTTCATTGTAATGTACCAACCGAGACACCATCTATTCGTCCATAACCATACAACAACAACCCTCACATTGAAATGTGAAATCTAAAAATCTTGTTTTTCACAATGCTCTAAAATATAGAATTCTGAAACACAAAGTGCCTTCACCGTGACATACAGTAGGTTCATCCTCGGGTTTGTCAGTTAGATTCATTTCGTAATCAAGCGCAACAACACCAAAAATCATTCATTTCTTAAAGATACATTTATAATAAAAATGCGGTCCTATGAAGTAAATAAAAGCAACTGCATATGACTGCGTATACGTGTTGTTATTTTCATCACTGTAATAGAGACTGAAGTGTGTGTTTTAATCCCGAGGATGCAGTTTATGGTCCGAAATGAAGTAGTACCCTCGAAATTAGGACACACTTTACTCCTGTGGTATATACGCTATTTTGGGTACTCTGATATCAGTTACAGCAATTTCAATATTAAACGTCCAAATTTGACAAAAAAAAATGTTTCATTGCAGAATCAAGATACATTGTCATGTTAGATTGTGAAGGTATACCTTAGACCATATAGTACATGGACTGCTAATTGCAACTAAAATTTGGTCAAGGACATCGCCTGGGTATATAAGTTTCAGGGTAAACGAATCTATCCGAAGTTGTTCGATGAGACACGATTTGAACTGTCAACCTTTAAATTAACAAACGTCAAATAATTAATCGCATAGAAATGCCAAAAAAATCAAACCTATTCTTATTTGTGGAAGTATAGAAGATAAAGAATAGCATTTAAAACATCTCGTACGACTTGATTGCTACAGAAGCTGCTGTTTTTGTGATACGAGTGGTGTTTACACGACTTTAGTTTACCCTGAGATTCACATACCCACGACTACAGCGCCCCCTATCCGTGACCACCTATTTTGTATTGAAAGCATAGAGCGAATAGCAGTCCATGTACTATATGGTCTAAGAGGTATACTAATAAACATCAGTTTTAAAATAAAGATTCTCGTTCAAAACCCTGCAGAAGAAGTTATGAGGAATTTGCTGCCTCAGAAATTCAAAAAGATGTATGGAAAACAGTATGACTATAAAATATGGTGCATGGTGCAAGTACCAGAACGTACATTTGAAGGTAAGTACGTAACTAACTCTCTGAAGCTTAGGTATAATGTGGGTGACACGCCTCTGTGAAACCCTATCAGGTAAAAACTGTTAGAAACCTACGACTAAACTCGGAGAACAGTAGGTACTTACTTGCAAAGGATCCGAATCATCTGGTAACAGTGCAACGTTTACATTTCGTCTTTTATAAAGTTGTTGCTCTCGTTTCTGTTTCCTTAACTGAACTCCTTCTTCCTCACGCCGTCGTCGGAGTTCCACAGAGTCAAGAGCCGAATTCTTGTAACGATGTTTATGGGCAGATGCAGACATCTACAATGAAAAGGTGGCAATATATAAGTCTTCGTAAAAGTTTCTCAAAGTACAAAGCTTGTGGCATTCCAATTTCAGAGTTCTCTGTTACAATCATACTATCTTACAATACAATTCAATTTGATCTACTTATGTAAAAAGGTATGCAATATTTAATAAATAAACAGTAGGTTGATATTCCAACCAAATTCCAGACACTTGCAATTTTTGAAATCTGACTACTATTAAATTAGTTGTAATGGAAGCAATACAATACTCACTCTGCTTAAGCAATATCTAGAAATTAAAAACTTAAAAAACTATAATAAACCGATAAAATTTTCCTTCAGACATGAAAAGCTCAATTAGAATTAACCATATTTCTCTCTATGGCACTACCGCAGTCACTTTTGATAATTGTCTGTTTGTAGCACTGTAGTCTTAATAACAATAAAATTCCTAAAGCGGGAAACAGGTTTTTTACATTTTTGTACAGGGTGACCCGTATATAATATAGTGGATGTTCAGCTCTTATTGTAACGGGCGATCAAAAATGAGTTGCTGTAGAGTCACCTTTGGAAGTTCAAGTTAAGTACGATTTTCGAATGTAAAGAAAAATTCAAAAGGTGGCTCGACTCATTTTTGATGGCATAGTATAAAAACCAGTTTCGAATTCGATAGCTATTTACCCTCAATACATAAGTCGCAGTAAGAAATTTTTTTTCAATTTTTTTTTCAATACATTAATTTATGCCGACCTTAAGAGCACCCACGGTACACAAGTTGTCAATGCTTTTTTGCAAGGTAAAAGTTTAAACATTTGCAATCCATTTATCTTCAAAGGTGTCCTATTTTATTTGACCTGCATTTGGGGGGGGGGGGGTTTATTTACGAATAAGCACAGAATTGGTTTATTTCACTTGAATTTTTGTCTTAGTGTTGTTTTTTCATTTTAGAACTTTTTGTAACTGCGTAATTGTTTATTTAGATTTGTGTATTTAATTATAAAACGTAAAATTGCGTGTTAAAATGTAGGCACATCTAGTCATTTGTGGCAAGAATTTTTGTTATCGGGCGAGATTAACGCACGTCTTTTTTATCGCTGTTAGAAGAGATGACGGTAGATGCAGTTGTATGTGCGCATTAGTTCGGCGAAAATGGAGACGCGTTCTATCGAAGCTGGCGTTATCAAGGATAATTTTGATTAGCGGTTTAGCTGTACAAACTGGAGGAAATAGATGTATTTTATTATGCAAGTGGTGTTTCGTTAAAGCGCCTCGAGATGTAATCTTGGTGCTCAGGCAATAATAACGGGCGATCAAAAATGAGTTGCTGTCGAGTCGCCTTTGGAAGTTCAAGTTAATAGCTATTTATCTCATAAGGATATTACCGTTGCCATAATTAACGAGGATGTTGCGTAGCAACATCCGAGTTTATTATGGCGGGTAATATCCAAATGAAATACATAGCTTTATCGAAACATACTAGATAAATTGTATCCCTCGTTACGACAAAACAAATTCCGCTATTACTTTCTCCTTGGTTACGACAAAACAAATCTTAAATTTTTCTCATGATGGATAACGTCGAAATCGTTCCCCAAGATATTTTATTAGAAGCGGAAGAGGTTTCTTTAAATCTATTGCCAATTCAATCCCGAGAATTATACGAAAAAGAGTATCGTGTCGTGAGTTCTGTACCTGGCGTGAGGCGCGTGGAGCAAAAGGAGCTTCAGAACCTATTTTGCTTGCGTACTTTAAGACCAAGGTGAGTACTTAATTTGGAACTTTCCTTTTTGATCTATTCCTTTTGTTATACCTGTATTGTTACAACATTGTAGGCGGAAAAATATGCACCATCTACGTTATGGACTCACTACTCCATGCTGCGGACTTGTTTGGATATAAAAGAAAAAATGAAAATTAACAAATATAGTGTCCTGATTGCTTTTATTAAACAGAAGAATGTGGGTTATGAGGGGAAAAAGGCTAAAGTATTGACCAGAGAAGAAATAAACGAGTTCTTGCGTGCTGCTCCGGATGAAATATTTTTAATGATAAAGGTACGCTATCTCATACTCTTGACCTGTAAATATACTAGCAATTTGTGTACAATAGGTTGCTTTTCTTTTTGGAATATCTGGTGCGTTACGAGGAAAAGGACTAGCGAGTTTAACCATCGACGATATTGAAGACAAGGACACAGTGCTTGTGATTCAGATTCCCAAGTCGAAAACTCATGTAAAACGTGTTTTCACGGTAAACCGTCGATTTTTTTATCCTACAGAGGCGGTAAATGCACCAGACAGGTATGCGGAGAGCATTTTTTTGCAAGCATACCGCCAAGAATCGCAAAATTTCTTAAACTACCAGAACCTCATAAATATACTGGGCACAGTATGCATAGGTCATCAGCTACCTTACTAGCTGATTCCGGAGCTGACATATTACGTTTGAAACGCCTTGGTGGATGGAAGAGTAGCAAAGTGACCGAATCCTATGTAGAAGATAGCATTGCTCCAAAAATTAAAACAACTAAAAATATTTTATTTAATAATGTTGTTTCTTCAAGTGCTGACAATAATGGTGACTACAGAAAGATGACAATACCCAAGCCTTCCACCTCTACTTCTGTTTCAAATATAGAGGTGACTAACATATCAGTGAAAGAAAATGTTTTAACGGGTAGTCCTACAAAGCATAACGCAGTTAACTTTAATTTTAGCAACTGTGAGGTAACCATAAATGTAAATAAAGTAACAAATTAAGAATACAGTATTAATTGGTTTTCACTTACTGTTCAGCGTTTCAAATACAGATAGAAGTGTCCAGTGGCCAATCTGTAGATATAAATGGTCATGCTAATAAATAAAAACGCGCTTTTAACTCTCAATATACAAGTTGATAAGTACCTGAACCCAATAGCTTAGCCGCTTTCTTCCATACGTTACGTTAATATTAGAACTCTTGTATTATGGTAACTATGATATTATGAAGGGTAACTATGCTATTATGAGAATTTGTTATTTTGGGGTACTTTTCACGCAAGTTCACTAATAAATTAAGTAGGCAATAAATGTCATGTTTCGATAAATACGATTTTTTCGTCGACCTCTCTATAACAATATAAATTACTCCTTAGTGACGAGTACAATGATGAAGCTTATTAATCGTTAGCAACCATTAATCGTTAGCAACCACTTATACATAACAACCATTTTATTAAAGGGAAATGACAATAAAATTATGTAACAAATCACTTTCGGCAACAGCTGAGAACTTCCATCCACCTAACCATTTTAATCTCGGTTTTAATGTAGTGAGATCAGCAGCCAGTATGGTCGCCAAACGATCTCAGCAAAGCATATCCTGATGTATGTATGTGTAGCTCCTCAGATAAGGTACTGTTAAAGTATTCAGTTACTTTACCTTCAACATTGAGTACGTTGACCACAGGGATGAACATTTCCATATCTTTCACTGTTAATACACGTACTTTAGTACAGTTGCAAAAGAATTAATTACATTCTAATTTCACATACCTTTTCAAGGTAAAATGTCAACGTGACATTTTCGGAAATATCTCCTTACAAATTCATTGTATTCCATCAATTGCCGAACTGATCGAAACCGTTCCAATAAGTTTCTTTTGATTTGAGTGGATATAATGTTAAAATCGCCTCCACAGCAGAGCAAGCAACATAATCTTCCACTGTGATTACGAGTACTGACGGTACAGCATAAAACAACACATTACTAGCAACGACAATAGCTGTAATTTAGTGAACAATCGTACGAGCTTATAATTTCGTTTGTAATTTCTTGTAGTTGAATTTAAAATTACCTACCCCAGTGAAGTCGACGAAAAAACGTTGTATGCAATTCATGTATAAATCGGCGATTATTGGTTCATTCGAATTTAGTCCACTCGCTGCGCTCGTGGACTAAACATCTCACTCACCAATAAAACGCCTCATTTATACACTCATTGCATAAATAACTATTCTATGTGAACAACAATTTCAAAGGCGACTCGACAGTAACTCATTTTCGATCGCATAGTACTGAACTTCTCTACCTTGATATACCGAGTAGTGCACGGTAAGTAGAAACATAGGGATTTAACATGGGAAATTAGTTTTATGCAATATCCTGCCCTCCTGTACATTTTACAGAAATAACTTGTGATGGAACCGAATTAGCCCGCAAAAATTCGATTTAAATATTCCCGAAACTAACCCTGGCGCGACGAAAAAAGTCAAAGTTGCGCTTTGTTTCGTTCCCGTGGAACACGTGTTTTTTTCTTCTCTGCTCTACATTGAAATGGGCCATAATTTACAATAAAAGTGTCAAATATTACGCTATGCGAGCTATGCGAGGGGACTTAATGATCGATATCGACCGACGGCTCGGAGCACGGCCATATTAACAATTTTCGTCTAGGATTTGTTTAAAAAAAAGGGGCAGAAGTATGTGTGCTTTTGTTGAGAGCAGAGGTACATCTTTACGTTTCGAATAGTGAGTGCAGCTTCGACAATTACCAAGGTGATGTACGCATTTTTTTTTATCTCTACGTCTATTGCATCCATCTAATAATGATATGTACGTGTTCGATTATTTGCCAATTTAATGTTATTCTCGTACAGCATTATTGTTGCCATTTATAACACATTCTATTCTAGATACAACTTGCACTATGGTCATACTAGAATAGAGATTCTACATAAATATGTTATCTGATTTACGTGTTTTTATTCATATTTAGACACAGTATGTTCCCTTTCGGTTTGGGGCGATATTCAATACCTAGTATGCAGAACTAGGTACATTTTAATTTATAATTGAATTTATTGCAGGGCATTTCGCTATTGTTTGCCTGAATATGTTACTGTGTATTACAGGGTGCCTCACTTAGACCATATAGTACCTACATGGACTGCTAATTGTAACTAAAATATGGTCAAGGACATCGCCTGGGTATGTGAGTTTCAGGGTAAACGAGTCTGTCCGAAATTGTCCGATGAGACACGATTTGAGACTGTCAACCTATAAATTAACAAACGTCAATTAATTAATCGTCTAGATATGGCAAAAAAAGCAAACCTATTCTTATTTGTGGACGTATAGAAGATAATCACGGTTACTATAAAAGTTGCTCTTTACGCGATCCGAGTGGTGTTTACACAGCTTTAGTTTACCCTGAGATTCACATACCCACGACTACATTGCCCTCTATCCGTGACCACCCATTTTGTATTGAAAGCATAGGGCTACTAGCAGTCCATGTACTATATCGTCTAAGGTGCCTCATTTGGGGGCGAGTAACGTACGTTGGGTGGTTGGTTGTTACATATTGCACTTGGCATTGTGAATTAATTACTTGATACCAATGTTTACCACGACATGTTCCTTTGTATTGTTGTAATGTGATAGTACTAAAAGTTATGCTCCTACTATTTATTTGAACCGGGTGATTATGATTATTACCTAATATTTGGCTGGGTGACTTGTTTCGAACATTTACTGTGCTATATCTGATATTAATATTTGATACCCATATTTAATATCTCGATTTGACGTAGCAGAGGCTGACATACGCAGAGATAGGTATGTATTTTATGTACTGTTTTTTGTGTCTTTGGAAAGAGCCATCTTGCCGATATTGCTAATCAATCCGATCAGTCGATTCCTGACATGTAGTGACCGAATATTGGTTTTGTGTCGGTCTTTGTTATGCCAGTGCAAATATGTCAACTGCCAACGCCTACATAAATTATTTATTTTGTTTATAATTATCAATGAATAGTATGCGTGTGAGTTTGCCGTTGGTTACTCTGTGATTTTTGTATTCATTGGATTTTTGTTATGTCATGATTAGTCTTTTGATCAGTTACTGTCAGTACTCATGGTAGAGAGAGATGGAGTTCGGTAATTTATCTTCTCTTATATACAGGGTGATTCCTATAGTACCTGCCACCGTTTGGGAGCGTGTAGGTGGTGCGTAGGGGAGTATTTTGATATAGGACACTTGGGGTCGGAAATCTAAATTAAGGGTGCCAGAGCCAAATTTACCTTCTGGAATTTCGCGCCTGTAGGTAGGCAACCCAACCGGCCGGCGGTGCACACGGAGCGATCTCAGGCGGCGATGTGTGGCTGACACTTGATCAGAATTTTGTTTAAACCCACGAATTCCCGTCTGCAACGACGCGTATCAAGTGAATAAACACTATGGCAATAGTATAATAATAGTTGGCTAGATGTAGGAAGTGCATTGAGAACCAACGGTGGCCACGTTGAACACTTGTAAACGTTATTGCTTTTGACTGTCGTTTTCCCTCCTTCCCTCCCATGTCGCTTCCTCGCGCTAACTGGCTCTGCATCGCTCCGCGCGAAACGTCGGTCGGTTGGGTTGCCTACATACAGGCGTGAAATTCCAGAAGATAAATTTGGTTCTGGCGGCCTTATTTTAGATTTCCGACCCCAAGTGTCCTATATCAAAATACTCCCCTAGGCACCCCCTATACGCTCCCAAACGGTGGCAGGTACTATAGGAATCACCCTGTATATATGATTTATAACCCGGCACTTTAATAGCGTTTTCGATTGGCAAAACTCGTGCTGCACGAGTGCAATTTTTACGTTCTATTGGTAATTTTAGGGCAATTTTCTGTGTTCCATTGGGAAATGTGATGCAACAATTACGCACTCAGTGCAAATTTCGACGCACGAGGTCCGAGAGCTCGTGGAGCTGCTAGTTAACAAATTTTCAAAACAAACGTGCGACAATTTGAATGTGTTTCTTGCGTTGGGAGAGTTTTTTGTCGTCATCTAGCGATAGCGAAGATGATGAACTAGCCATAACTTCTATTTTACAAAAAGTTGCACTTACTCATTAAACTGAACGCCAAAAATTGGTCCTTTACAGGAATTTCAAATTTATATTCCTCATCGTTTATCATAAATTGAAATCGTTTGTCATTTTTTAGAATAGAGATTTGTCGATTACCTAAATCTAAAATGAGGTTATGGACAAATGACAATAAATATTTACGAATATTTATGTTCTATTGAGAGCAATTTTCACATGGATTTCTTCCGTATCTCGTGCAACACTCGTGCAGTACGAGTTTTGCCAATCGAAAACGCTATGAGACTAGTGGGTTGGACTTGCCCTAGAGATGTGTGAATGAAAGAGTTGGGGTCCCGCTAGTCGTACATGGGGCTGCCGGCTAAGCCCGGCCTCACTTGTGCAGGGATTCGCTAAAAGCGTGCGGCGTGTTCTCGTTGTGACCTTTTGTTTGCGTTATCAATTATCCTTCCTTTGTGAAAGGCTTTTCTGAGAGGCCAACTCCTAGCGATACAATATACAATGTTGACATGTAATGACCAGAGCAACTAAAGACTACTCGGTGTGGGATTTGGACTGGCCATCCAATATCCAAACCTATTATATGAATTTATTGTAATGTTTTAATAATTGTTTTTGTTATGTGTGTAAAATAGGAATTCCAGCGGAGCCTGTGATTCAATATGATCATAATATGCATTCATGCCATTACAGACAACTAATTTTGCTATAAAGTTCAATATTAATTTGTTTGCTGGGTTTTTTCTTGGTCAGTTCTTTTTTTCCCAGCCTATTGTTATATTTGTACTCCGTGAACTACCATTTTCTAAATTTAATATTGCAATGCAAATTCTTTGGATTAAATCTCCGTTTTTAAAGCATGTACTTGTTTTATTTGCATTCCTTACTTGGTCCTCACTCCGACAAGCAATACATATCTTGTAGCGACTGTTAAAAACACAACGGTTATTCAGGTTAGGTAGCTTTGTCTAGACGATCACGTGCCATGGGGTTCAGTTAGTGTGGGAGGGAAATTTTTGAATTTAAATCTCGAGTTGCGCAGTCTCTCGGGACTGGCCTGGGTACATTACAAACTGTAGAGTTTAAAGTTGTTCAGAATTAAAAGGTGCATACAAAACTATTTTTACATGTTTTATTAAGCTTTTGATATACCCCCAAATTTAAAAATAAATTTCAACATTTCTGTTATTAGTAGCAATAGCCATGACTTTTGTAGATTTATGAAAAATGGCGATTTTCACTTTTCCAATTAGCTAGGAAACGATTTATTTTTTGAACATATCGCAATTGGAATGTCCATTAGCATTAAAAACTACACAACTTTGCCAATTTAACCGAATTTGTAAATATAATAATAAAGATAGCTATGTTAACCTACTCAATTTAAAACACCCTGTATATTTGTCCCAAGAAAATGTGACGTCATTTACATTATTTACAACAGAATAGATATGCATCTACCTGCCTGCATTGAATGCTGCCTGTTATACTCTATCGTCACCTTATAAGTGAAGGTGATTTTCATGAGAATCTGTTTATCGTTTGTATGTATGCAGATGTAATTTAAATTTAGACTCGAATTTAGATATAGCAAGTTGATTCAAAAATAGCTCGTTATGTTTTTATTATTAAAAAATACTTCAAGAAAATCGTCCCTATTTAAGGGATACAGTTTTAGCACCAGCTCTGTTGTTCGAGAGGAAGAGATAAAGCGACTTCCAAATGAAACTTACAAAGTGAATAACTTTGAAAGGCGCATTTTAGTATGGATGGGGAAATACAAAAGTGTGGATGATGTGCCTAGTTTTGTTAAGTAAGTCTTAATTGGAAATGTTTTTTTATAACAAACCCCCCTGGATTACAGACCCGAGATTATGGAAAGAGCCCGTAGTTGGATGCGTGTACGTATTTCTAACTATTCCATTGGACTGACCTTATTGGGATGTATAGTTATGGTGTATATGGGAAAGAAAGCACGTGATCGAGGAGACACTTTGCACAAGAGAAATCTGGATTGGCATGAGGAACACCGGGAAAACAAATAAGAACTGGAGCATCTGTACATTTTTTTGTAAAGTTGTATATTGTAGATTACTTCAAATTGAATACAAAACAATTATATTATACTACCTACGCATAATTCAAATTATTAGGATGGTTTGTAGTACTTCCGACATCGTTCTTGAAAGACTTTTGAACTGCGTTCTTCAACCAAATCTTCAACACTCAACTCAACTTGCAACATTCGTAACTAAAATTAAGTTAAATATAACAGTTCACCATTTGGCAATAATTACCTTCGTTTGTTCTGCTCTGAGCAAGTTTCTCGACTTTAAAGATTGATCAGTACTAGGATCAGTATCCCTTTGCTCTCGAAAATGTTTCAGTTTTTCAGCAGATAAATTTATACACTTTGTTATTGCACTTTTTCTATGTTGGTTTCCTTCAACTAACTGATTATGTAAGTCTTTACAAGCTTTAGCCGCATCTGGATTAAACGAGTCCGTTGGAATAACAGAATTGAGGGTGTTTATAATGATATCATCTACTCTACGCATATTTTTCAACGTTTCCTTGAAATTCAACAAAACGGCATTAGGACAGGAGGTTGTCGGTCTCGAATGTTTTTGTTAAACGTAATGTAAAACTTATTAATTAAATTATTGAATCTTACGATTTCATTAAGTGTAAATATTATAAGGGCAGCTACCTGAAATTCGCTAAAATCCGAACACTCCATTTCTAAAGAAAAAGTTGAGGGTAAAGTTTGGCTAACCTCAATTTTAGGTTACCGCAAATGCAAGGATAGCCGAGCCACAGAGTTGTATCTTATACAGGGTGGTGACTTCGTCACGCATCATAGGGACTTAAATTATTTTAGAGCAAAAATGTAATAAGGTTTTTTGTAGGAAATAGCATAGTGTAAGAATAGAATAGTGAAACAACCTTACGGAAAAAAAAGTAACCGATTTGGACATCGAGATTTTTTAGTTCTGGACGCGCCAATCTGAAAGAGGGGCGCAGAAGTCGTGGATTTTAAAAGCAACCGATGTTACAAACTCTTAACAATAAATTGCCACTTGGCGCTACACGAGAATAGATGGCGCGTTTTGCAAAGCGAATTTACAGAAGGAATATTATACCTACTTTTATCTCATTTTTATGCGTAAGAAAAATAAAGAGGTAAATTAATCCATGCAAACATCCCGACAATAATGCTCTTTTGTTATTACATTCTCGAGTACCTACGTCAACTGAGTCATCACATTCTACAGACCTCGTTTAGATAACCTACCTTAATATTTCAAATGTTAGGTAGGTAGGGTAAGCGGTACAGTTATTGACACATTAAGCAGATATCATCCAAATTTCTTTAAAATTTTCATTATAGCCAACGTAATGACAAATACAACTGTTTTGTCATGTAGTGGAAAGATCAAAGATTTGAATCACCTTTATACTTTCTGCTTGGCAAACGATTATAGTGATATAATAAGTATTTAAATCGAATTTACCTCAAATCACAGTGATTGACATTCTTGTGATGGTTATTGACACATCACATATTACAGTTATTGACATCGCTTCATATTTGATGGTTTGCTGAAAAACGGACGACCAGGTACCTACCCACCTAGGTAGGTAGGTTATATTTAATGAGACAGAATAGGTAATATAAGAAACACCAACAAAAAGTATTTTTATTTAAGGAGCTATCTATTTATTAGTGCAGGTATCACAAATAAACACTTCTTTGGCATCTTTTCGAAATTTTAAAATACAATGGTAATGATATGCTCTATTGCAGAATTTGCATTTCGCACCTTTTTTATTACTATTCATGTTCAATGTGCACGTAAAGCATAGGCCTGAACGCATAGATTGGTTTTCTGGAAACATAATATCTTTTAGCACAAGTTCAGAGGTTTCTGGTTCACTACAAATCACTTCTGTCGTTGCATTACTTTCGCCATCACATTTATTTGAGGAAATATTTTCTTTTAAACATTCCTGGATGGATTCATTTTGTGCAGCATCAGTAGTGTCTAACTGCACAAGTTTGGTTTTTGATGAACGTATAGGGTTGGTAATTTTGCTCTTTTTCTTTTTAATCAAATTTGGTTTCATTGTCTCTTTCTTTTTTTTATTTTCAATTCTTTGTTGCTTTCTATATTCTTTCTTTTTTTCTTCCTCTAGTTTTTTATCTTTCTTCTTGTTTTGAATTTCCTTCCAGCTTGCCGAAGTTACAACGTATGGCATCCTTTCTATGTCACGTTTATTTTTTCTTACTGGCGACTGAGGCCAAAGTAGAAATTCATTTAAACCAGGCTGTACAGTTACTTCCTCTATTACTTCGTTGCAACTAACTGCGCCAGAAGTTTCTACTGCACCAGTAGTTTGTCTATAATTACCTGTAGCTGCATCATTATCATCATCATTATTGACAATTAAAATCTCCATATGCTGTATATCAAACAAATCATTTTCAGGTGTAAGATAATGTTCATTACTTTTAGAGTTTTCTCCTCGTACAACTATATTAGATATAATCTTTATCTTTTCTTCAATTTGAGGATGGTTGTCAAATTTACTATTTTGCAATGAAGGCCTGTCAATATGTGAAAAACCGCCAATCCCTTCTACCTCATGGATTGTATCACCAATCTGGCGTACAGTCGTGTCGTCGTTACTTTTTATTAATTCATTTTCTGAGAAAGTAATATCTTTCTCAATGGAAGTTGGGGCCCCTGAGCTATTTTCCGTTTCAATGTCATTATGTTGATACTCTCTCCATAAACTGTATAATACCCAGAACTCCTCAGAGTGTGTTTCTCCTATCTGATCCAGTATTTTGAATTTTTCTATTCTTTCAGCTCCAACAATTTCTTTAAACTTATGGTAAGCAATGGTTGTATTATTTTCTACGTTGGTTGTAGATTTACATACCTCAGCCTTTCCTCTCCCTAAACATTTGGAAAAATCTATGCTATTGGGATTCCAGGGATGAATACCGCACGCCCTGAACCCGTTTGATATTGTCTCTGGTTTTATGGAATAGTCTATAACATTTTTTAAAATGGGAGCAAATTTTTCTTTAGTTAGTGCTACAGAAGGGTTTTCACGTCTCCAATCCAAAACTCCTTTTTTCCATCCATTTTTCAGAGGTTTAAATGCAGAAACATCCGCTGGTTGAAGAATTCTTGTAGAGTTAGGGTAAAGTGCAATCAGAACAATACGTAAATTCGTGCAAAGTTCACTTAACTTGATATTTAAGTGAGTGCTGTGTCCATCCACAAACAGTAAGATGGGGAAGACAATTCCTTGTTTTACAAGAGCTGGATAAAGTACATTCCCAATGTATTCATAAAATACCTCCGTCTTCATCCAACCATTGTCGCTTAAACCAATTCCCCACGATTCAGGTACTGATTTTGCTATTTCCGAAGGTAACCTCTTATATGGAAAGATGATCATGGGTGGAGTTGTTACACCGGCAGCGGAAAATGTAAACATGACCGTTATGGTTGCGGTCTAGGACAACTGGCCGCCGCCAACTGGCCACCGCCAACTGGCCGCCGCCAACTGGTCGCCGGGACAACTGGCCGCCGGGACAACTGGCCGCCGGGACAACTGGCCGCCGGGACAACTGACTCGATACCTTGCCAATAGCCATATGATCAGCGTTGCCGCCTTTTCCTGATTGTAGTACATATATATATAAAATAGGTATTAATAGTTGTATAAATAGATGTTTCAGAACTCTTTTAGCACACATTCAATCAATTAGTCTAATATCAATCAACTCAAAATGTACATTGAAAGAGTTTTTTTTTATTTTTTCACATATTGACAATAAGAACGTATTTACAAAGTGGATATAATTATTGCATATTTTACAATGTTTGTCACACAAGTATGTACATATATTACAACTAAATACAATTACTATTAATTAATTTGATAATTATGAGCAATGCCTCGTAAGTACTCAATTACATCTCGATTTTCGTAATCTCTAACGATTCTTAAAATACGTTCGTCGGCAGCTATGTATCTCCGAAGTTTTTGGGGTGGAGCATGCCCAGCAACAAGCTGTTCGTAATAAATATCCCGATTAGCTTGAACTTTCCGTAACCCATCAATCAGTCTCCATATTGTAGGATGATCTATACCTAGCTCGATTTGTAAACGCCGATGGGCTGCTTCGGCATGATTGTTGGTACGATCTTGCAAGTTCAGCACTCTCGCATACATATTCCACATTTCATGTGGAAACATGGGTTCACGCCGTCCGTTTCCTCTGCGGTTCAAACGACCAACGTAGAAGTCCTCGAACCAATCCAATACAGGTATCAATTCCTCAGGTAAGATATCAGACAACTGATTTAATGCGTTTTCCATATCTTGCATTGGTACAAATGCTAAACCAACGATCATTTTTGCATGTAATGCGAACTCTGCGTCGTTGTTATAACGAGCAATCAAATGTGCTTCGTTCAAATGCTTTTTCATGTTTTTCGCTAGGTGGAAAAAACATCCTCGAATTTCAGTTTGCGGGAAGTTATTTTTCAGGCTTTTGAAAGCAGCTAGTTCAAAATCAGATGTAACTGATCTTGGATGTAATGCGGGTGCTAGCGTTTTTATTGTTTCGAATAAACAATCATAAGTTGCTCTTGATTTATTTGGCAACAGAGCAAAAAAAACAGGATGCACACCTCCATACCTCTTTGCTAGTATAACGTATACTTGGTGAAATAAATTCGGTGCAATTTTAAAAGTCCCGTCTACAAAATAGTCGTCACAATTTTCTAGAATTTGTAAATTTCTCTCTCTGCCAAAAATTAATATTCTCTGAGGTCCAGGGCCACTGTCGGAAAGTAAGAAATTCTCTATGTTGCCCGGTGTAGATTCGTAGATTCTATAACGTTCCGGAATTTGCAGATCTTCAAGAGTTGCTGGAGTTGCTGGTGCTTGGTTTATTTCATTTCGTTTTCTTCGCACCAGTTTTTTTAAAGCTCCTTGAGATGGAAGCGCTCCTTGGCAAGCCAAGCTGAGGTTTTGTGAGCATTCGCTGATTACCTGACATGTCGGTTCTTGTGTGTCTACAGCGCGTTTTTTAATTTTAGTAATTACTCGATCAGCCTCTGCTTTGGCTGCTGATGAATCATGTGTATGCACATTCAAAGTTTTTATAACAGCGCCGTTTCGAACATGAACTCGCGCTTTACACTGTCGTCTTCGGTCACATCGCCAAAACTCCGTTTCACCATCCGCTGATAATTTATCAAAAACGTAAATATACCCGTCACTATAAAACTTATCACGATTACGTTGAGATTGAATAGTCTCCATTTTCATACGAATACCTTAAATAGCCGTAGATGAACTGATTTGAAAATACTTTCGACATGATTTTATATTGCAAAGTAACTAATCATAAATATCTCATTAATTGACATTTCTATTGTAATTTACCTATTAATATGTATAGTCCAATTAGTGGAAATTTAACAAACAAGTAAATCTGCTTGCTTTTATATTAAAATCATCTAGTAATCAGAATGTAATTAGTGAAAATTAGCAAATAAATGCATTTGAATGACTTATATTGGAAATTACTTAGCATAAATGTCTCATTTGCGAGACTTTCTAAAATTAGTGGAAATGTAAGAAATAAATCTGCTTGCTTCTATATTGGAAATTCTAACTGCGTTTTGATTTTTGAGTTGACTAATATTTGACTAGTTGATTTATCAAGCGTTTATCCCTGCATTTAGGCAAAAGGTAGGTGGTGCGGGCGGTGGCCAGTTGTCCCGGCGGCCAGTTATCCCGGCGGCCAGTTATCCCGGCGGCCAGTTATCCCGGCGGCCAGTTGTCCCGGCGGCCAGTTGTCCCGGCGGCCAGTTGGCGGCGGCTAGTTGGCCGCGGCCAGTCGGCGGCGGCCAGTTGGGTCATCCCGTTATGGTTGATTTTGCTAACCCTTGGTCCACCTCGTATACATTTCTTGCTCCTCTTGGTGCAATAACTCTCTGATTTTTTGGGCACAATTGGAAGTTGGTCTCGTCGCCATTGAATATCCGTGTGGGATCATTAAGAATATCAAAATACCCCTCGTCCTTGAGGTACGTTTCTATGCTGTCAAACCACTTCCTGATATCGTTTTCTGACACAACTGAACTAGCGGCAGTTACGGCTTCAGACGTGCGCTGTGT